CAACGATCATGTCCAACCATTATTCTCTACTTCAAATAAGATAATGTCCATATTTTTTATGTTTCTATGACTAGAAACTATTGGTACAATGAAAAACAATGGTGATGTTAACAATAATTAGAGTATAATACTATGTAATAATTATAATGAGTAATTTTTTATTGGTAACTTATTATTAAGATTTAAGAAAGCAAAGTAAATTAAATTTTATAATTGAGAAGACTTTTTTTCCCCTAAGCGCATCATAAGACATTTTATTAATGTCATTAGGGATATACACCATCCTACATCATGTGCCGCCCCATCACCAGCTAAGGCTGGTGTATTTGATATTACTGAGGTTGTTTTCAGCCAGATATAATATATGAAAGCATAGCATAAACCAGTTAAGAGCATTACTTGACTTAAAAAAAAAAAAAAAAAAAAAAAAAAAAAGGTCTTCCGCATTTATGAAACTATGGATCACAACCAGTTTGAATAAACATTGTGAAGATGGCAGAGGCTGTCTTAGGACTAGTCATTGATAATGTAGTCCCTTGGATTGCTAGTGAGGCGAAGCTATTGAGAGGAGTCGGCGGAGAAGTTGAGCAGATCATTGAAGAGCTGAAAAGCATTCAATCCTTCATCAAAGATGCAGACGAGAAGGCAGAACAAGAAGAGGCTAACGGCGCAAGTTCATGGGTGAAAAGTCCAAGACAGGCAGCTTATCAGATAGAGGATGTCACAGACACTTATGTTATGCACATGGCAGCAGAAGCACAGTCTCACCATTGTCGTCCTAAGATACTTGGCTCTCTTGAAAGGGCCATGTGTTGGATTCTCAAACTGAAATCTCGACATCAGATTGCACAAGAGATTATTCAGGTTAAAGAGAGTATCCGAGTTATCAAAGAAAGGGGTCAGAGTTATGGCTTCAGCTCCTCCTCATCAGTAGTAGGAGGAAGCAGCAAACGCGATGGATCATGGCATGACCCTCGTGTCACTTCATTATTCATCGAGGAAGCTGAGGTTGTGGGAATCGAGCACCACAGAGATAAATTGATTGGGTGGTTAGTCAATGGAGGATCTAAACGCACAGTTATTTCTGTTGTGGGCATGGGTGGGCTAGGCAAGACAACTCTTGCCAGGAAAGTTTATGACTCACAGACTGTGACAAACCACTTCAGCAATCACGCTTGGATTACGGTTTCACAGTCATTTAAGGTTGAGGAACTGTTAAGGAAAACTCTCAAGCATTTCTACAAGTCAAGGAAAGAGTCTGCTCCTCTGGAACTTGATGGAATGGATGAGACTCTACTAATCTTTGAGCTTCGGGAATATTTGAAACAAAAGAGATTCATGGTTGTTTTTGATGATGTCTGGGCAGTAGAATTTTGGTCAATCATACGCCATGCTTTGCCTGATAACAGCCAAGGCAGCAGGGTGTTGATCACAACACGTTCTGACGGTGTTGCTTCTACATGTAAAGAAACATTGATCGACCAAATATACAAGTTACAATCGTTACCTGAGGAGAAAGGCTTAGAGCTGTTTTGCAAGAAGGTATTTTATTCTGATATAGAGGAGGGTGGCAGATTGCCATCAGAATTGGTGGAGTTGTCGCGCAGCATAGTCAAAAGATGTGAAGGCTTACCACTGGCAATAGTTGCAGCTGCAGGAATGTTGTCAACTAAGAGAAAAGTTGTAACTGAGTTGCAGGAGCTTGATAAAAATCTTGGCTTTGAAGTTCGGTCAAATCCTCACTTCTCAAATATGAAGCGGATTTTGTCTCTCAGCTACTATGACCTTCCATACTACCTTAAGCTGTGTCTGATGTACTTTGGTTTGCTGCCAGAGGATTACTCTATCAGACATGCACGACTCATTCGACTATGGGTTGCAGAGGGTTTTGTGAGAGAAGGAAAAGGAAAGGGAAAATCAGCAGAACAGGTTGCAAAAGAATACCTGACAGAGCTTATAAACAGAAGCTTGGTTCAAGTCTCAGAAATAGATATTGATGGGAAAATAAGAAAAGTCAGTCCATGATTTGATGCGGGAAATCATCCCTCTCAAAGTCCGAGGATTTGAGTTATGGCCATGTATGGACAGAAAATAGCTCAAGCTGTGATAAATTTACACGAAGAGTATCAATCCACAGATGCAATAAAGATTGTAATTTGAAGAGCAGTGGCAAATTTGAGACACGTTCGCTCTCATTTTTGATACAGACAGCCTGTCACATTCCACATTGTGTGCAGTAATGGAAGCTTTCAGGCTTCTGAAAGTTCTAGATCTGCAAGAAGCCCCCATAATTTTTCTTCCTGAAAACATTGGAGATCTGTTTCATTTGAGATATCCAAGTGTAAGGCACACGAAGACAAAAGAACTTCCAAAGTCCATAGGTAAGCTACATAACCTACAGACTTTGGATGTCAAATGCTCCTTTGTGCATGAGCTACCAGATGAAGTGAAGTACTTGATTAATCTGTTGTATCTCCTTGGATACAACTATGATTATGAAACTGATTTTAGCGTAAGTGCTCAGAAAGGATTAAAGCTGAAGCACGGGTTAGGTCGTCTGCAAAATCTGCAGAAGCTATACCTTGTAGAGGCAAGTGATGGGATGACCCTATTCAGGGAGTTGAGAAAATTGAAGCAATTGAGGAAGTTGGGGATCACCAAACTGGCCACACATAATGGAAAAATCCTTTGTGAGTCCATAGCTTTGATGAACCACCCGAGTCCTTAGAAGTTTGTTCAGAAGAAGATGGGATGCTTGATCTACAGTTTATCTCATCCCCTCCTCAATACCTTCAACGCATATACTTAAAAGGACGGCTAGCAAAGGTTCCTGACTGGATTCCCAAGCTCAAGTATCTCGCTACAGTAAGTTTAATGTGGTCAGGGCTAATGACTGACCCAGTGAACATCCTTCAGGACCTGACTCACTTGTCAGAGCTTGTACTCCAGGATTCATTTCTTGGTGAAGAGCTGGTTTTTCAGGCTACAGGCTTTCAAAAACTTAAGATTTTAAAGCTCTACGACATGAATACTTTGACAAAGCTGACGATAGAGAAGGGAGCACTTCCTCTTTTAGAGCTGTTTAAAATTGGTCCTATCCCAAGGTTAAACACTGTCCCTGAAGGCATCTATCACCTAAGAAGCCTTTCAGCTCTTCGTTTCTACGATGTGTCCAAGGTATTTGTCCATAAATTACTTCCAGATGAAGGACAAGACTTTTGGATCATCGAACACGTCAAAACAGTGCTATTTCATTACCAGATAAAAGGGGAACGCTACAAGTCCTGCACTCTCAATGATTTGATTTTCCTCAACCATTGAAAAAGGTAAAACTTTTTTTTTTTTTAACACACTATTTAAGTAGTTATATTTCTTTAATAATCTAGAGAATTTTTCTCATTAACTAACTAAGGCTTATATCTTCAGTTGATCAGTTCCATGTGCATTATTTTGGTTTATGTAATCAAGCATGTTACCTCAGAATTTATCTTATTCCATTAACATCCAAGTCTTCAATGCCTTAATCTATCAAACAGAGTAAAAGTTCCAGTGCATGGGCCTAGCTGTCTAGTAAGACACTGAATGAGTTCGTAGTTAGAACTTAGAGCTTTAGAAGTGTTCAATACTGGCAGCTCCAGCAGGAATAAACTTATGCCTCTCACGCATGTGCAAGCTGATTCCCACAGCTTGCATGAATAGGATGAGCCGATTGGAGCACCATCCTAGATGCAGGCAATGATTTTCTCTAGTTGGTCGTCATTACAGACCCATGATGGTTTTTATAACCCCAAGACCATATTTCACATGAATCACATGATAAATCTACAACTAATGTTGCTTTAACTAATTCATATAGGGGCTATACTTAGATATATATGCATACCCTCCCTAAGTCCCATAACCTATCACTAATGCACTGCGTTTTGGCCAGGCTTTTCTTCAATGAACCGATGCTAGACCCATCAGGGTCGATTCAGCACAAGCTTTGTGGGTTAAAACTCTATCGAATTAGGAGAGAAGCTAAATGAAATCCTCTCTCCAAACAGTCCTAGTGGGGATTTGGATTACTCCAACCGTAATTGGTTTTCAGTTTTGTTTTCTCAGTTTTGCTTATTATTCTTGTATATTTTGCATTTCATTCATGTATTGATGTATTTGGTTTTGTATCTTTTGCTTACAATGAATTGTGTTTTCTCTTCCTTATTAATATTTCATTTCATTTCAAACTTTTGAACATGTACAATGATTTTACCTGAAGAATACTTTATCCCCCAACCACCCTACTTCAGATCGGATAATTCCAATTCCATCAAACTACTCCATCCTTTTTTTTAATGCATCACTTGGTGTTGCGAGAAATTTTAGGAGAGTAATAAAATATTGTGAGTGGATGAATAATTTAGTATACTCGTAGTCAAGTGAAATAGGGATCATGAAAGAGAAAGTATGTGAGAGGAAGTAAGTATTTTTATTACTTCCTCCGTTCTTTTTTAATTGCACCATAAGGGATTTCACGCTTGCCAATACATTACTTTAGCTATCAATATTTTTAATTATACTTTTGTAAAAATTGTAAAAATTTGATATTTGAAAAGTAGAGATCGATACAAATCTAACTAGATCCCACATAACTATATTTTTTCTAATGTATAAATCACAAAATATGGTCAAAGAAAATTAACTGAATAGTGTAAAAGTCCTAATGGTGCAATAAAATAAAAACGGAGGAAGTATATAAGTTGGGACATAGGGGAGAGAGAAATGATAAAATAATTTAAATAGAGTTTAAAGTAAAAGAGAAATAATAAAGGTAGCTTCCAATTGGTTTCTACTCTGTATTACTCAGGTTGATGATTATTATAATGATTGTAAGCTTGTTTGTTTAAGTGTGTGTTGGAGACTTGGAGTCTATCGGTTGCATTGGCTATTTTCGGCATAGTGTAGGGTGACAATTGTTTATGATGATAATTATATATGATAACAGAAACAGAAAAAATAAATTGATACATGATTAAATAATTTATTACTTATTAAAGACTAGAGAGTATTTGAAAGAGAAAAGTTAGTAAGGAGGTCAAATAACACTAATAATTTTGACTCTCAACAATTTTATGGAATAAACACCAAGTAAATAAAATTAAGTAAAGGAAGAGAAACAATCAAAAACCCAAAAATGAGAGAGGACAAAAAGTTGAGCAAGTAATAATTTACTGCCTAACCTAAAGAAGCTCAAGACTTCATTGAATCCCCTTATCATGAATTTGTATACGATCTGCATGAAGTTTCTGTATTTGCATTTGTACTTGTATTTGACCAGAACATATTCCCTTCTCATCTCATACATAATAGCATATATGCTTCCGAAGAAAGTAGTAATAATCCGATGTTGATGTTCATGTCGCATAAACTCTATTTTCCTGCATTCACACATCGTTGTCAATTGCTTTTTTCAGATAAAAAAACTCGAACAAGCAATAGAACTATATGGAGCAGTCCTGTGAAAAATGACTAATACAAGTAACTATTATAGCAAGAACAAAATGATCAGATGTAAAATCAAAGAAAACTAGGATCTTCACTTTTATATAGGTTCAATACCCAGGCAACCAAGTCGATCAAAGTATTTCTTTATTTATCAGGCAGTGAACTTTAAAAGAGTTAAAACCTTTATTTGAACAGCGTACTCACAAGATTAATCAAGTCTAACACTTGACACATACTCGTCACAGACGTCCAATCAAAACTTGTTTGACCCATGGATGACTAGCAACAGTTAACATGAGTTGAGCAAAAAAGGGAAAGAAGAAAGAAAAGTTTCTTGATAGAAAAAGAAATTTCCTCTCAAAATAATGTCCAAGAAGACCCCACTTAAAAGTGTGAACGTAATCTGACTGACTGACCCGAGGAATACTCACCTTGACTTCAGCCCCCACAACCCTACCAGACCTTTTGTCTTCCTTGAATTCAATGTGTTTGGATGTTATTATTCTGACTTAAAGACTTGTTATGATACCACAAAATAATTCCATTTGTTAAACAAATTACATACAGCAAAAACAATCTATATACAAGTCTCTCTTAATTTGGGAACTGTATGCATATTTCAGCTTCACAACTATGAAGACATCATCTCATATGCCATTTGAATAAGTAAAAGCAACAAAGTGGTGTGCCTGATTGGCAATGTGAGCGCAGAACGAGACAAATGACACAGGCTGTTGTGAGCCTTGTAATACAAAATCTGGTTCCTTTGCTCGTTGATGAAGCAACATTCTTGAGTGGCATCCACAGAGAAGTTGCTCAGATTAAAGGGGAGCTGGAAAGCATTCATTCCTACGTCAGGGATGCAGATGCTAAGGCAGAAAAAGACGCAATTAACTATGGTGCCAAGACATGGGTGAACCAACTGCGAGAGGTAGCTTATCAGATAGAAGACGTCATAGACAATTATGTTCTTTACATGGCCACAGAAGCACAATGTCATGACTGTCCCAGAGTCTTTGGCACTCTAGGCAGGGCACTCTGCATGATTCTCAGATTGAAACCTCGATCCCAGATGGCTTGTGAGATTAAACATATCAAGGATAGAATCCATGCCATCAAAGAAAGAGGCAAGAGTTTTGGCTTCAGGTCCTCAGAGCCAGAAGCAAATACAGAAAATGAATCATGGCATGACCCCCGTGTCACTTCATTATTCATTGAAGAATCCGAAGTTGTGGGGATAGAGTCCCACAGAGATAGATTGATTGGCTGGTTAGTCAATGGAGCACCTAAACGCACAGTGATATCAGTTTTTGGCATGGGTGGGCTAGGCAAGACAACACTTGTCAGAAAAGTATATGAGAATCATCTTGTTACGAATCACTTCAACTATCAAGCTTGGATCACTGTTTCACAATCATACAAGGTTGAGGATCTGCTGAGGAAAACATTGAAAGAATTCTACAAGGCAAGGAAAGAAACCCCTCCAACAGAGATCGATCAAATGGACGAGACATTGCTTATAATCGAGCTACGAGAATATTTAAAGCAAAAGAGGTATATGGTTGTTTTTGATGATGTCTGGACAGTAGAATTTTGGGCACTGATTCGGCATACTTTGCCGGATGACGGTCAAAGCAGCAGGGTATTGATCACAACACGCTCGGAATATGTTGCTTCTTCATGCAAAGAATCTTCATTTGATGAAATGTACAAACTACAACCATTACCTGAGGAAGCGGCCTTAGAACTATTCTGCAAGAAGGTATTCCACTCTGATACAGAGAGTGGCAGCCCATCAGAGTTAAAGGAGTTGTCAGGCAACCTTGTGAAGAAGTGTGAAGGCTTGCCACTGGCAGTTGTTGCAATTGCAGGAATGTTATCGACTAAAAGAAAAGCCAAGAGTGAATTGCAGAAGCTCGAATCCAGCCTTGGTTCTGAGCTGCTGACCAATCCTCACCTCTCAAGTATGAGCAGAATTTTGTCCCTCAGCTACTATGACTTGCCTTATTACCTAAAGCTGTGTCTGATGTACTTTGGGATGTTGCCTGAGGACTACTCAATCAGACATGCACGGTTAATCCGACTATGGATAGCAGAAGGTTTCATAAAAGGGACAAGAGGAAGAACGATGGAGCAAGTTGCAGAAGAATACCTGGCAGAACTTATAAATAGAAGCTTAGTTCAAGTCTCACGTATAGATGTTGATGGGAAGATTAGAACAATCAGAGTGCATGATTTGATGCGTGAGATCATTCTCTCAAAATCAGAGGAATTAAGTTTTGGACATGTATGGACAGGAAGTAGGTCAAGTTTTGATGGTTTAACAAGGAGGTTATCAATCCACAGATGCAACGACGACAGTTTTCTGAAGAGCAATAGAAATTTGGAATCCGCTCACTTTCAATATTTGATGTGGACAACTTCCCAAGTTCTGTTTTGTGTGCACTAACTAAAGTTTTCAGGCTTTTGAAAGTGCTAGATCTGCATGGTGCACCAACCGATTTTATTCCTGAAGAAGTTGGAGATCTGTTTCACTTAAGGTATATAAGTCTAAGGAACACAAAGACAAAAAAAACTACCAAAGTCCATAGGTAAGCTACATAACCTACAGACATTGGATCTCAAATGCTCATTCGTGCATGAGCTACCAGGTGAAATAAACAGGCTACTTAATCTGCAGTATCTTATTGGATACAGCTATGAATATGAAACTGATTTTAGCATAAGCACTCAAAGAGGGTTGAAATTGAAACAAGGGTTAGGCCGTCTAGAGAATCTGCAGAAGCTGTACCTTGTAGAGGCAAATCATGGGATAACTTTATTCAGGGAGTTGAGAAAATTGAAGCAATTGAGGAAGTTGGGGATAACCAAGCTGGAAACACCAAATGGGAAAATGTTTTGTGAGTCCATAGCTTTGATGAGACACCTTGAATCTCTAGAGGTTTGTTCTCAAAGTGAAGAAGAGATCCTTGACCTAAAATTTCTTTCATCCCCTCCCCAACATCTTGAACGTCTTTACTTAAAAGGCCGCCTAGAGAGGATACCTGATTGGATTCCCCAGCTCAAAAATCTTGTTACAGTTAGTTTAATGTGGTCTAGGATGATAATTGACCCACTGTCTATCCTTCAGAATTTGCCAACTTTGTCAGAGCTTGTACTCCAGGAAGCATTTCTTGGTGAAGAGCTAGTTTTTCAGGCCACTGGCTTTCAGAAGCTTAAAATTCTAAAGCTCTACGACATGAATACTTTGATGACACTGACAATAGAAGTGGGTGCCTTGCCTCTTTTACGGTTACTGAAGATAGGCCCAATCCCAAGGTTAGATACAGTGCCAGCAGGTATCCACCATCTAAAAAGCCTCACTGCCCTTCGCTTCTATGATGTGTCAAAAGATTTTGCCCTCAAACTACTTCCAGGTGTGGGACAAGACTTTTGGGTGGTTGAACATATTCAAACTGTACTTTTCCATTACCAGCTACAAGGGGAATGTTACAGGACCAGCACCCTGGGTGATTTAGTCTGAACAACTGACAAAGGTTAGCCTCCTTTTACTGCTTAGCTGCAACATTAGAGATGTGAGGACATGCTCTTTCAATTTTCACATAAATATAATCTTTTTACGAGTCAGAAGAGAACTACTACTAAAATTTCTAGCATAGGCTAGTTCCTCAGTTTCTTAGAGTGTATTGAATTCCTCAAGCTCTGGATAAGGAGTCCCTTTTTCCTATGTAGGAAATGTTCTAGTTAATTACGCATCTCACCAGTTGAAAATTAATGTTTACATCCTCCAATAAATAGATTATGCATTGAAACAGCATTTAGCGAACAGGCCGAACAGTCAGTCAGTCATATAGATCATTCACACAAATGATGAGAGCTTATAATGTTTGGAGCAATGTAACAGATATAAGAATGTCATTTTTCCAACTTCTAACCACAACATCAAACCCTTAATCGTCAATTTTGTGCATCCCCCCCCCCCTTCCTTTATTTAGGGGGGAGCCCAAAATTGTTTACCTTTGCAAGTATATTCCACGCTAATAACACGTTTTATCATTAGAAAATCAAAATCTATTACAATTATGCTATTTACACATCCCTATGAAGCTGAATATAATAATTCAAAACAATTATGATTTCCTAGCTTCCATCAATATTGAGTCAACAATTCATGACTTAGATTTCAGCTTCAAGCAGTACCAACTTAAAACGACTCAGTCCCTGTAAAATATGTATAAGGCCAGTAGCAACTCCAAACAGCTTTCAGAAGAACAGTGACCAAATATTATGCTTAACAAAGGTCCTTAATTTGGTTTTTAAAAGTAGCACCTGGCACCATAATATCCACATAAAAAATCTGCTACCAAAGTTTATTAGGAACAAAAAGGCCCCTTCTATTGCTAAGTTTCCTCTCATAACCATATTATTGGAATCTTCGATCTATTGGCCTAATGATAATTCATGGAATATTCAGTACCCCTAACTCCTTCCATTCAAACCTAGAATGCCAAATTCGATTAGCACACTCAACTCTGTAAGTGCCCTCAATAATTCTCTAGAACACACCCGAAAATAATCTTCATATAAGCTTTGAAAGTTTCAATCTTACTCTTCCAGTCTCAATCACCAATTCATCACAATCCTATATTGCTCACACTTTACAGACATTTTGCCGGCAATTTGCATTTCCTTCAATGCACTTCTAGAAGCTGAGGGTTTGTTTGGTTTTAGCTGTGCCAATTATGAAATATTCCTTATACTCTTAACCATCTTCCTGACCCCTGGATCCAGCTATTCAACATTGGAACTGAATTTTGTTTCTATGACCACTTTAGAGTGTTCCATATGTGGATGCTAGATTTAAAATGGAAAATCCCCTTCCCCCTCCTTATTTTTATACTCCCTTTATCCCCTTCTCCCTCCTTATTTTATACTCCCTTTGTCCACAAATAATCTTCATGTATTTAATTTCTAATATGCCCCAAATTATCTTCTTGTTACTTAAAATAGAAACTTTCTTGGTCAAAACCATGTGAAGTGGACCCCTCCACTAACACTCTCTCTCCTCACCTACTAAATTCCTTAATATGTGTGCCATAGCTTTCAGAAGAACAGTGACCAAATGATAATTTTTTTTTTTTTAAAAAAAAAAAAAACAACCTTGAAGCCCAAATATTATGCTTAACAAATGTCCTTAATTTGGTTTTTAAAAGTAGCACCTGACACCATAATATCCACATAAAAAAATCTGCTACCAAAGTTTATTAGGAACAAAAAGGCCCCTTCTCTTGCTAAGTTTCCTCTCATAACCATCTTATTGGAATCTTCGATCTGTTGGCCTAGTGATAATTCACGGAATATTCAGTACCCCTAACTCCTTCCATTAAAACCTAGAATGCCAAATTCGATTAGCACACTCAACTCTGTAAGTTCCCTCAATAATTCTCTAGAACACACCCTAAAATAATCTTCATATAAGCTTTGAAAATTTCAATCTTACTCTTCCAGTCTCAATCACCAATTCATCACAATACTATATTGCTCGCATTGACTTTACAGGCATTTTGCCGGCAATTTGCATTTCCTTCAATGCACTTCTAGAAGCTGAGGGTTTGTTTGGTTTTAGCTGTGCCAATTATGAAATATTCCTTATACTCTTAACCATCTTCCTGACCCCTGGATCCAGCTATTCAACATTGGAACTGAATTTTGTTTCTATGACCACTTTAGAGTGTTCCATATGTGGATGCTAGATTTAAAATGGAAAATCCCCTTCCCCCTCCTTATTTTTATACTCCCTTTATCCCCTTCTCCCTCCTTATTTTATACTCCCTTTGTCCACAAATAATCTTCATGTATTTAATTTCTAATATGCCCCAAATTATCTTCTTGTTACTTAAAATAGAAACTTTCTTGGTCAAAACCATGTGAAGTGGACCCCTCCACTAACACTCTCTCTCCTCACCTACTAAATTCCTTAATATGTGTGCCATAGCCTAACACAAAGATTTTTCATAGACAAATGGAGCGTTATTTAATTTGGCATATGGTTGCGCAAATACACACACACACTATAGATAACTCACTATTGCGCCAATTTGTTGCTCATTGCACCCCAACTTAGATTCTGTGATTCTTTTCTAAATAAAAAAATAAAAGTAAGGAGAGCCCAAACTAAGCCTCAACCCTCATAGTCTCTTCGCCCAATTTTTCAGGCACATGTAAGTGAAGGGGAAGGGGTGCGGTAAGGGATCCTCACCCCTAATCATCTGTATTTGGAAGAACTTGACCTCATGAGTACAAGTTGTACCCCTAACCAACTTCACCAATCGTTGAGCATATTGATGAATTTTATTGACTAGAGTTGAAATTAGTATCGATTACCAGGGTAGCTGCTAGCGGCTACTTCATTGCTTATTAAAGTCTAATTTTCTTAAGACCTTCAGACCTTATTTTTCAATACCTTCTATGCAATGTCTTTATGTAGTTCAAAGGATATTATTCTTTATAATCTATTGCCTTTCGTCACGCCATTTATGCCTTGTGTTTTCACCAGGTGGATCAGGTTCTTTTCCTATGGACTGTTGGAAGTTTAGGTGCAATATATCAATCTGCAGCTGCTCTTTGATGGGATTTTTTTAAGTGTTCCTATATTCTTCAATAAATACTTTGCTTAATTGCAAAAATATTTTGTGGGTCATCTCTAAGTCTTCTTTTCTTTTTTTCTCACAAAATACCCCATTTTTGTTCCTTTCAAGATTTCTTGTTGAATAGTCATGCACTCATGCACATAAACAGACTCTTGATTCAGTTGATTGTTGGTTTCTTTCAAGGGAACCTTAGAGCCTAGAAAACAAGCAAAAGACTGTAGTCACTGAACTTATGCACTTGTTTTCTTAACAGTTATTATGATTTCTTGACATTGTTTTAAAACAGGTACAAGAGAATTAAAAAAAAAAAAAAAAAAGTCCCAATTTAGTCGGCCATTATTCTATATAATTAAAAGAATATCATCACCCTGGATACTGATGTTCTTTTTGATTAAGATACCCAAAGACAATAATGCTGATCGGGATAGTGATAGACATTGATAACGAATTTATCTCTTGTCGTCCAGGGTTAAAGAAGATCAATTCAAAAGGTGTATAGAGTTCAAATATTCAATTCAACAAGAAGACACACTACACAGTACACACCTTAGTGAAAGATATGAAACTTTCAAATGTCTTTAGAATACAGGAGCTTATGCCCAGTTCAATAGTCCAAACGAAAATTGTTTTGGTCCTTTCTACCTAATTCATTTCAAATGACCCAGATAATTTGAAGAAAGTTACCAGGAATATGGTACAAAAATTGTGATTCACTTCCCAATTTTGCCAAACTAGTCCAAAGTCATACCAATATACAGTATAATATTTTCTCATATTGCATTTTACCAATTGTATCAAAACTCCTTTCTAGTTGGCTACATTTCCATGTTCTTCGACTATCACTTATCTCAATACAATCCAGGGTATTCAAAACAGTCACCTGAATATCTCCATACAGCAGAGCATATGAACTGGGTTCTGCTCACCAAGATATGGAGAGATACAGTCTAGCGGTTTCTAAAGCCCTTCAGTATATATTTCAGAGCCCTCAAAGGATATTTACTCAAGATTGTCAATTTTTATTGACGCAAGTATCAGGCTTTCACCTTTCACTACTAAGCATTATATGGATAAGCAAGAGTTATCCCATCACAGCGAAATATTAGCTTCTAAATTACCACGCTTTAACTCTTTTTAGAGTGATCATCATCCGCTAAATAACTCTAAGAATCTCCAACTTCAATCATCATCTCTATTCGATCATAACAATTAAGCCTTCCTCTATTATCTCCCCGTTCTCATCTAATGTACCTCTCTTACCAGAATCATGACCTCTCTAAATTTGCAAACCACCTATACCATAACCTCGCAATTAAGCTCTTTGAACTATGCACTTATCCAAGGATTCTAAACAAATGTAACAACGGCATACACACAAAATGCCAAATCAACTAATAAGTTTAAAATTGATTCCAGTCAATCAGTCATTAAACTTCTTAGCACATACATAAACAGGATATAAGTTGAATTTAACTTCAATAATCAACCAAAAAACATTAAATTGAGTGGTGATGCAATCATACCTCGTTTGAGTATTACCACAATTCAAAGACATGAATGGAACTCATTAAACTATCTCTCAGGATGCCTTAGAGCTCCTAAATTCCTTCTTCAATTCAGAAACTCTCTTCATACAAGCCGCTTTCGTTTTCCCAGGAACAGCAGCAGCAATCTTCTCCCACCTCATAGCAACCTCCTTTGGAAATGCTTTCAATGCATTAAGAAGAGCAATATCTTCAGTTGAACTCCAAGTAATCACCTCCCCACCACTTTCTTCCTTACCCACAGCCACATTTTCATCTTCTACCCTCTTATCAACCGCCTTTCGATCCTTCAAAAACTTCGAATATGAATCCGAATCCACGGGTTTCTCCTTCCCCAATGACTTAGCTTTACTGATCACACTCTCCACACTATGCCTACCCTTGAAACCCTCGGCAATCACCTCCCATCTCTTAGGCTTCCCAACTGGGTACTTCACAATTAGTTTCCTCAACAACCCTAAATCCTCCTCGCTCCATTCTTTCTCCTCAATCACAACCCCATCAACATTTCCCCCTAATTTCGAAAACCCTTTATCCTTTTCCTTCAAATCAACCAAATTCTCACTGTTCTTCACAAAATCAGAAGACCCATTAGCAATAACCCCATCAAATTCAGATCGTTTACCTCGATTCCGTCTATTGGGCAATTTTTTCTTGGATTCCTCAGCATCAATTGCCTCCGTTTCAGGGGGGAAATCGACGATTTTTCCTTGCCCAACTCGAATATCCCCAGCAGTGAGAGAGATAGGAGCGAAAGGACCGATAAGGAAAGAGAGAGAAAGCCATAGGAAAAGGGGATTTATAATCTGGGATTGGAGAAAGAAGAAGGAAGAACCCAGGAAGATGAGAGAGAAAGAGAGTGAAATGATGAGTAGAGGCTTGTTTTTCTGGGAATTTAGAGGTGAATCAATGGCGGCTGATGAAGGTTGGGAGCGAGATTGGAAGATGAGCCTGGGTCTGCTCTCGTCATAGTCGTCGATAAACTCCATTTTTGTGTTTTAGAGCAAGCTTCCTAATTCAGGCATTCATCTACCTTAAGTGCATTTGGTAAAGAAAGGAGGGAGCCCATTGATTTCATGATATCTATTGTCTATAGACTATAGGCAACCCAAAACTAATACTATCTCCGTGTTTTTTTTAAGTGTTATAGTTTGACTGACAAATAATTTTAGGCAATTTAGTTGACTTAAATAAACTAAGAGACAAGTGGGGTAGTTGGAGTATTAAAAAATTGTAAAAGAAAGATAGTGGGGTTATTAGTTTATTGAAAAATAATGAATATGAGAGGAAAGATATAATAAAAAAAAAATGTAGTAGTGAGTTTGGGTGGGGATCATGAGAGAAAAGATATAGGGTTTTTCTAAGCTATACCCCTAAGGTATTCGAGTTTCTAAGGTGTACCCATGCTTTTTCAAGTTTCTAAGTTGTGCCCCTTAACTCATTACCATTAATGAATGGTACCCTCCTTAAGACTTCCACATCACCTAAAGTGAACTATAAATTTAATAGAAAGATGATAAAAGGTAAGGAAATGGTAGGAGAAATAAATCTTAGCCACCGCAACCCTTATAATAAAAACTAAAGCCACGAAATCACACTTTCAAATAACTTTTAAACAACTAATATGGGTACATTTTAGTATTGATAAAGAGTTGAAGGGCATACTTAGAAACTTGAAAAAGCATGAATACACCTTAGAAACTCGAATACTTTAGGGGTATAGCTTAGAAAAACCCAATAATATTTTAATGTAGCATTTTGCCAAAAATAGGAAGTGTAACACTTAGTAAAACACGACCATATTTGATAAGTATAACACTTAAAAAAACACGGATGAAGTATTTGAGATAGAGGTTTTACCCTAAACCACTACTTTAAGTAACGATTAATAATTGTTATTTATCATGAAAATCAATATTTTCTGCAATCAAGTACTTTGATAATGTATTGACGTATTTCCAATATAATGCTCGGCTTAACTATAATAATTAGTCTAGTGGTAAAGATTATTACTCACAACTTGAGGTTGTGAATTTAATTAATAGGCACGAAAAACAACTTATGATGAACATTCAATCCTTTCCCGCATTATCGATAGGCATTGTCGTGTTTTGGACCAAGTTTGCTTGTAAGAGACACATTTTCAATCACGAGCTTCTTGCGTCACGAATTTTCAGTTGGTCCCAATACCAGCATATTTATTTTAAAAATGAACATTTAGTATAATAAGAACGAACATTTTCTTGATATGGGATATTTATTCTAACAAAATTAAGGGTCTGTTCTCATACGTTTATTTTCAGATCAGTTCAGTCCAGTTCAGCTCCTAATTTCCTTCTCTTACAAAATATTCAGTTCAGTTCAGTTTAGTTCAGCTCAATTCAGTTCAGTTCAGCTCAGTTCAGTCAATGAAAACAAGCCCTACATGTTCGTTTTCATACTATCAGATGTTTATTCTTATAATAATAATGTTCACAATTTAATATAACAAAAATGAACTTTTTCTAGTTATAGGATATTGAATCTTACAAAATAAAATGTTCATTTTTATACTATTAGATGTTCATTCTTATAATATTAATGTTCACAATTTAATGTAATAAAAATGAACATTTTTATGCTATAGGATATATATTCTTATGAAATTAAATGTTCATTTTCATACTATCAGATGTTCATTATTATAATAAATGTTCACCAATTTTTTGTCAGCGTCTTTCTCTAAATCCACCACCATTTTCTCTCTCCAGGCCAAACCTTCAAATTCATCCTAAAATGGCGACAACTCTATACTTCATATAGGAGTTGAGCTTGTAATCTTGTCATTGAATTGATACTCCTGAAATACACTCTTGTATGTACTTTGAATAAGTTTGCTCCTTTTCATTGTTGCCCAAAAACCTTTTAGACACTCTCCACTATAGAGCAAAAATGACTATTCGCTTTTCAATAGTGGTGGACGGATGATATTAGTCGTTGTCGTCGACGTGGTGGGTCATGTGGATCCGGCACCTAAAGACCTTATTCTTGGTATACACCAAGCTTTCTTGGTTGATCCGTTCCCTCAAAGTACGTAATGTTTGTGATAGCAAATGTTCATTTTAAAATGAGGGACCACGAATATGTACCTGGTCTCAAGACCAACCTTCAACAACTGCTTCTTGAATTACACCTTAGTGGAACTATAAATAAGTCAAATTTAAAATTTTAGGTTGTTGCCTGTTGGATGCACCCAACATATAGCTCTAGGTGTTAAGGCTCATTTTTGCCTAATAAAATTGGTCTTCTCTAATTTGCAATTGATTTTTCTTTTTTAATTTTTTATTCTATTGATTTGAATTAATAATTTTTTTTTTTTTTTTTGAAGAGAAGTAGCCCGAGGGCTAACTAGCTTTCATTAATAGGGAGGTCCAAAGACAACAAATTAACAATACAAGAAGGAAAATTATCAAACCAAAAACGACTACCAACCACCCAAGGCAAATGAGCAAGCTCATGTGCCACTTTATTACCCTCCCTACGAACAAAACTCCAAGAAACAAAATCAAGAGAAAGACAAACATGATAAATATCATCAAGGACAAGGTGAAAACAGCTACTACCCCTTTCTCGTGAATCCAAAGCGTTAATTAGGCCGAGGCAATCACTCTCCACAACTAGGCATTTATACCCACACTCCACCGCAGCTTGTAATCCCATAAGAAGCGCCTTAGCTTCAGCAATGACAGGCGCCCATTTCTCCTCCCCCATCCAGGTCATACACATCACAATTCACAGCAGCTCCATCCCCTCCACGAATTACAGCACCAGCGCAAGACCCAAGTCCCTCAACCACACCCCCATCAACATTTAGTTTCCATTCATTCCTTCGAGGAGGCTTCCAACGCTGTCTAGCAGCAGGGGCAGCACATCCACCCCCTTTCTCTTCCTTCCCACCCAACTCAACCATGAGCTTATTAACATAAGCCATAGAATCTTGCGGATTACAATACTCCCCCTCAAAAATCCACCTATTCCTCGCATTCCAAATCGCCAACATACTGTCATGAAAAAGCCATGACCCGATTTTGGCGATTTCTCAAGATAAGCCAAAGCCGCATCTCCAAAGCTACCATGCCCAACACCAAAGACATTCTCCAGCCCACTCTCATCCCATATAAGTCTCGCCACAATGCAGTCCCTCATACAATGGAGCTCGGTTTCCTCCTCCACTCCACACAACCCACACACCCTATCATCATTTTGAAGCCGCTTGCTTAACCCCACCTTCGTAGGAAGAGCACCACAACAAGCCCTCCAAAAGAATTGATTATTTTCAATATTCTTTTTGTTAAAGTTTTCTCAATATAAATTCCAAAAAAAAAAAAGAGCACTTATACTCCATATAAATTTACCTCAATTTGAGATTTGCTTTTAATTGTGCCATGTTTCTTTAATAATCGATGTAAATCTTTGATTGCAATTTTTTTTAATTTGGCATTACCTAAAATTATAAAATGGGATATCAATACAAAACAATATATCAAATCAAATTTACGAATACTCTCGTAAAAAAAATACGAATTACTAAATGGAAAGATTATTATTGTGAAACGAAAGAGCAGCCATCTTAAAAATTAAAAGAATTATCACCGTTGGTATTATTAGATTTGACGATCTTACGATTGACAATTTATTCGTCTCATTAATTTAAAGGTCTATTCTCTCCATCTTAATTTCCCTTTCTAATTTCCTTTTCTAATACGGAGGCCCAACATACGTTTTCAAGTTTTTTTTTTTCCTTTTGTTTTGTCTTTTAATAACTTTTACGCTCTCCTCCCTCTCTAAATTCTCCCTTTCCTCCATTGTAGCGCGTATTCTGAATCCTCCATTGAAGCGGCTTCTGAGCTTTCTCTCCTCCATTAAGCACCTTCTGAGGTTAGTTTTTTTTTTTTTTTTTTAATCAAATCATTGAATATCAATTTCCCAATCTAGGGTTTACCGTTCATTTAATTGTAAGTATAGTCAATTTAGGGTTCTTCTAAGCTGGATGATTGAACTTTCGGTTAAAGTAACTGATGTTATGATTTATTATCAATTTCTCATTCTAGGGTTTATCGTTTATAATCGTTCTTGCTAGAATTTTGTTATATGCAATTTACGTTGATATTCCTAAGCAAGAACAATTTAATGTGGATTTTTGTAGCTTAATTTGATGATAATTAAGCCAAATCTGGGTGCAAATGTGTTGTAGGCTGTTTCCTGTAAGCCTTAATTAGTTAATTGTAGGAAGGAACTATGAAAATGGACCTTTTCTCTGGTTCTCCCTGTACCTGAAGTCCTGAACTATGAAATTGTTAAGTGAACAATGGTGATGACAGTACCGACTTCTTCGTCGTTGAAAGAATACTTGGAACTATGAAATTAAAATACAATCCTTCTGTAGTTTTTGTTGGTATAGGAAACTGTTATTAAACCAACAGTAGTGATGGCAGCACTGAATTCTTCGTCGTTGAAAGAATACCTGAACTTTGAAAGTAAAATACAATCCTTATATAGGTTATTGTTGGTATTGGAAATTGTTATTTAGTGAGCGGTGGTGATAGAAGCACCGGCTTCTTTGCTGTTGAAAGAATACCTGAAGAAGTTTGAAAGTAAAATATAATCCTTATATTGGTTTATTTTTGGTTCAGGAAACAATTAAGTGAAAAGTGGTGATGGCAGCACCGGCTTCTTCGTCGTTGAAAGAATACCTGAAGAAGTATGAAAGTAATGCAGCAGAGGAGGAGAAGAAAAAGAAGAAGAAAAAGAAGAAATCTAAACCAGTTGCAGTAGCTGCTGGTGTACTTGTTGTGGATGAAGATCCTGTATGGCATAAGCCAGTTAGTTTTGATGAAGAGGAAGAGAATGATTCACCTGGTAAAATTTCCATGTCATAATGTATGTTTTCATGGACTATGACTCAATTTTTTTAGTTTCTGCCATATCGTATTTTCCCTAATTTGTTCTTTTTGGTTTTCATTTTGTAGATGAGAAGCCACAAGTTGATGAAGACATTGAATTTAAAAGGATGAAGAGGTTGGAGGAGCTTAG